TATAATTTTCTCTTTTTTCTAAAAACTTTTATTTTAGCTGAACCTGAAAGAGACAGGACAACGCCATGCACTCCTTCGCCATGTGGAGCGAACGCAATTTGTAAAGAACAAAACGGTGCCGGTTCATGTAGTTGTTTACCGGAATACATTGGTAATCCGTACGAAGGATGCCGACCAGAATGCATTCTCAACACTGATTGTCCTTCTAATAAAGCTTGTATACGAAATAAATGCCAAGATCCATGTCCGGGTACATGCGGACAAAACGCAGTGTGTCAGGTCGTTAACCATTTACCTACCTGCACGTGCTTTTCTGGATATTCTGGAGATCCTTTCCGTCATTGCTCTTTAATACCTGAACGTAAGATATTGTAAAAGACAGTAAAAAAGAAAATTTTTTTCCTATAGTTTCTAAACCAAACTTTGTATATTTGTAGAAACTGTGCAATCGTTACCTACAAACCCTTGTTCACCAAACCCATGTGGGCCAAATAGCCAGTGTCGTGAGGTTAATGATCAAGCAGTTTGTTCTTGCTTACCGACATTTGTTGGAAGTCCTCCTGGATGTCGTCCAGAATGCACAGTCAGTTCAGAGTGTTCTCAAAGCTTGGCTTGTATTGATCAAAAATGTAAAGATCCTTGCGTCGGTGTTTGTGGTCTTAATGCTAAATGTCAAGTGATTAATCACAGCCCAATATGTAGCTGTCAGTCTGGTTTTACTGGTGATCCATTCTTAAGATGTTACCCAATACCTCGTAAGAAACAACAAACAAATTTATTCTTATTTTCAATATTTAAATTGAAAAACTATCTTATAACATAATTTATTTAACAGCACCTCCTCCCGCTCCAGTTCAAGAATATATTAATCCTTGTGTGCCATCACCTTGTGGACCTAATTCACAATGTAGAGATATTGGAGGAGTGCCATCATGTTCATGCCTCGCTTCTTATGTTGGAAGCCCACCAAACTGCAGACCCGAATGTAGTATAAATCAGGAATGTCTTAGTAGCTTAGCATGTATTCAGCAAAAATGTCGGGATCCATGTCCTGGATCTTGCGGCTTTGGAGCTCAATGCTCGGTTATTAATCACACTCCAATTTGTTCTTGTCCCGAGGGATTTACTGGAGATCCATTTGCAAACTGTCATCCTAAACCAACAAGTAATAATTTAAAATTAAATAAAAAATTTTTGATTTATAAAATTAGGGAAAACACTAAATTAAAATTTCAATTTCTATTTAGTCATCGAACCAGTTCAATCTTCGGATCCTTGTAATCCATCTCCATGTGGTTCAAACGCTCAGTGTAATAATGGCGTTTGTTCATGTTTACCCGAATATCAAGGAGATCCGTATACAGGATGTCGACCTGAATGTACTTTAAATACTGACTGCCCCAGAAATCAAGCTTGTTTACGAAACAAATGTAGAGATCCTTGCCCTGGAACATGTGGTGAAAACGCTTTTTGTGAAGTTATTAACCATATTCCAACTTGTAGTTGCCCAGAAAAAACAAATGGAAATCCGTTTATACTTTGTACTCAAGTTCAAGGTAGAAAAATTAAAATTTTCTTTTGTAATGCATTTCATTAATTTCAGAATTTAAAAAATACTTTTTTAATATTTTAGAAGATATCAGGCCACGTGATGTTTGTTCTCCATCACCATGTGGTCCTAACAGTCAATGTCGAGAGGTTAATGGTCAAGCTGTTTGCTCTTGTGTTCCTACTTTTATTGGTACACCACCTAATTGTAGGCCCGAGTGTATTAGTAATGCCGAATGTCCTCAAAACCAAGCTTGTACTAATCAAAAATGCAAAAATCCTTGCCCCGGAACTTGTGGTATTGGCGCTACTTGTCAAGTAGTTAATCATCATCCAATTTGTAGTTGTTTGCCATCTTATACAGGAGATCCATTCACTAGATGTAAATTAATTGAAAGTAAGTTATAAAGACTTAATGAAACTTAAGTTTTTTGTTGATGTCAGAGGTTCTATATACAAAATAAAAATTTTCAGAACCATTATTTTCTGAACCGGAAAATCCATGCCAGCCATCTCCCTGTGGGCCATTTTCACAATGTAAAGACACTGGAGGCAGTCCCTCTTGCTCATGCTTGCCTAATTATGTAGGAGTACCACCAAATTGTAAACCCGAATGTGTCACTAATTCAGAATGTTCTAATCATTTGGCTTGCATTAATCAAAAATGTAAAGATCCGTGTCCAGGATCTTGCGGTTTAAATGCCGAGTGCCGAGTCGTAAGTCATGCACCCAACTGTTTCTGTTTGCCAGGAAACACTGGAGATCCGTTTTCATCTTGTTTCCCTGTACAAGGTATACTTTGTTTCAAACCCTTTATTAATGTGATTTTCAAAAAAAAAAAAAATCATTAACTAATTTCATATTTAGCCGTTTCATATCCGGAAGAAATTCCAAAGCCTTGTCAACCGTCACCTTGTGGTGCAAATGCTATATGCCGAGAACAAAATGCAGCCGGATCCTGTTCGTGTCTTGAAAATTATCAAGGAAATCCTTATGAAGGTTGTCGTCCAGAATGTGTACTAAACACTGACTGTCCATCTAACAGAGCCTGTCTTAAAAATAAGTGTGTAGACCCTTGCCCGGGCACTTGTGGACAAAATGCAGATTGTCAAGTCGTCAATCACTTAGCTTCTTGTACATGCAGGCAAGGATTTACGGGAGATCCATTTAAATATTGTAGTGTTTTACCTCCACAACGTAAGTTAATTTTTGCAAAGCGTAGTATTCTAAATAATTTTAAATGTTGTTCATAAAAATAATAAAAATTGTAGCAATTCAAAACGAGCCTCAAAACCCATGTCAACCCAGCCCTTGTGGTGCCAACAGTCAATGTCGTCAGATAAACGGTCAAGCTGTATGCTCATGCTTGCCGGAATACACTGGCTCACCTCCAAACTGTAGACCTGAATGTGTATCAAGCTCTGAATGTCCATTAGACAAAGCTTGTATTAAACAAAAATGTACAGATCCTTGCTCTGGCACTTGTGGAGTAAATGCTATTTGCAGAGTTATTAATCACAGCCCTATCTGCTCTTGTAAGAACGACTTTACTGGAGATCCGTTTTTGAGATGTTATCCTATACCAAGTAAGCATAAAAATATTTACTTGATTTAAGGTCTTATTATATATGGAATAATTTATTTTCAAATTAACTTTTAGAACCTGTTTTCGATACTGCCGTAATACCATCAAACCCATGCGTACCATCTCCTTGTGGACCTTATTCACAATGTAGAGATGTAAATGGAGTACCGTCTTGTTCTTGCCGGCAAAATTACATAGGTACACCACCCAATTGCCGACCAGAATGTATAATTAATCAAGACTGTAGCAGTAGTCAAGCTTGTATAACCGAAAAATGTAGAGATCCATGCCCAGGCTCATGTGGTGTAAACGCTAAATGCAATGTTATCAACCACACACCTATATGTGTTTGTCCAGACTCATACACTGGAGATCCGTTTTCAAATTGTTACCCTGCACCAATACGTAAGAATCATTTCTTTTATTACTTTATACACAATTTTTGCATAAAGTAATAAATTAAATATATTTTTTTTTCTTTTTCTAAAGCTGTCGAACCCGTACAAGCATCTGATCCGTGCAATCCTTCTCCATGTGGACCCAATGCACAATGTAATAATGGAGTATGTTCTTGTTTACCTGAGTATCAAGGAGATCCATACGTAGCTTGCCGCCCTGAATGTGTCCTTAACACTGATTGTGCCAGAAATCAAGCATGTATTAAAAACAAATGTAAAGATCCCTGCCCTGGAACTTGTGGCGGCGGAGCTGTTTGTGACGTGGTTAATCATATTCCAATATGCAGTTGTCCAGAAAAAACAACAGGAAATCCATTTGTAATTTGTAATCCTATTCAAGGTAAACTTTCTTAAAAAATCTTTTACGAGAAAAATAACTTTAAAAAATCACAAAATCCTACACATTTTTTATACCCATTTTTATAGATATTGCACCAAAAGACGTTTGTTCTCCATCGCCTTGTGGACCAAACAGTCAATGTCGTCAAATTAATGAACAAGCTGTTTGCTCTTGTATAGTAGGATACGTTGGTAGTCCCCCTATTTGTAGACCAGAGTGTGTTGTTAATTCAGAATGTCCACAAAATCAAGCTTGTACAAACCAAAAATGCAAAGACCCATGTCCAGGAACATGCGGAATAGGAGCCGTGTGCCAAGTAGTTAATCATAATCCAATTTGTAGTTGCCCACCATCATTTACAGGAGATCCATTTATTCATTGCTTTGTTTATCAAAGTAAGTTTTTCGTATTTATTTCGTTTGAACTAATGAGGAAAAGATAAAAAAAAAAAGATGTGTTCATTAACCCTTTGAATTTAAATTTTTTTAGAACCAGTTGAAAATATTGTTCCAAGTAACCCTTGTCACCCATCTCCTTGCGGACCATATTCTCAATGTAAAGACATTAATGGTAGTCCATCTTGTTCATGTCTTCAAGAATATATTGGAACTCCTCCGAATTGTAAACCAGAATGTATTAGTAATTCAGAATGTCCAAGCCATTTGGCATGTATTCAACAGAAGTGTAAAGATCCATGCCCTGGCACATGCGGAGTAAACGCAATTTGTAGGGTTGTAAGTCATACTCCCAACTGTCAATGTTCTACTGGATTCTCAGGAGATCCGTTTAGCTTCTGCCATCCTTACAGTATGTTTCTCAAAAATATTAAACTATAATAAGAATGACTTATATTTATAATATTATAATTTTAAACGTAATTTTTATTAGCTGAACCTGTATTGGAAGAAAAACGTTCCCCTTGTATACCCTCACCTTGTGGAGCTAACGCCATTTGCCGAGAACAAAATGGTGCCGGATCATGTAAATGTTTAGATGATTATATTGGAAATCCTTATGAAGGATGTCGACCAGAATGTATATTAAGTACCGATTGCCCATCTAATAAAGCTTGCATAAGAAGTAAATGTATTGATCCATGTCCAGGAACTTGCGGTCAAAATGCAAACTGTCAAGTGGTTAATCATTTACCTTCTTGTGTTTGTCATCAAGGATATACGGGAGATCCTTTCCGTTATTGTACCATTCTGGCATTAGAACGTGAGTCTTTTTTAAAAATCGTAAAATTCCTCTGTGTTTATTATTCAATTAACTATTTTTATTTATGAAAAACTTTCAGCTGTAAAATCTAAACCTGAAAACCTTTGTACTCCATCTCCTTGCGGACCTAACAGTCAATGCAGAGAAATTAATGATCAAGCAGTATGTTCTTGTTTACCAAACTATATTGGAACTCCACCTGGTTGTAGACCAGAATGTACATCAAGTTCAGAGTGTCCCTTGAATAAAGCTTGTATAAATCAAAAATGTACGGATCCTTGCCCAGGCACCTGTGGTCAAAACGCTCGCTGTGAGGTTATTAATCATAGTCCGATATGCAGTTGCAATTCTGGTTTTACTGGAGATTCATTTACTCGATGTTACCCAATACCTGGTAGGATTATACAAGATGTTCATTTTTAACACCTTTTTCTAATTATTACAATTTACTTATTTTATTTTCTTAAAAATTTTTAGTTGTATCCACCACTTTAGTACAGCAAGAACCCATTAATCCATGCGTGCCATCGCCTTGTGGCTTGTACGCTATTTGTCAAAGTCACGGTCAAACCCCATCCTGTTCATGTCAACAGGGTTACGTGGGAAGTCCTCCAAATTGCCGACCAGAATGTACTTTAAGTGCTGAATGTCCAAGCAATTTGGCTTGCATACGTGAAAAATGTAGAGATCCATGCCCCGGTTCTTGCGGTGTTGGAGCTGTTTGTAATGTACTTAATCACATTCCGGTCTGTTCATGCTTAGAAGGCTTTACAGGAGATCCATTTTCTCATTGCACACCTTATACACCACGTAAGAATACAGAATTATGCGATTATATAAATAAAAACTTGTTTACTTCCCTATAAAGTACACATATTTTAAAATTATTTCTTTTTAAAATAGCTGTAGAAGTTCAGGCAACTGATCCTTGCAATCCATCACCTTGCGGTTCGAATGCTCGTTGCGATAACGGTATTTGTTCATGTTTACCTGAATATCAAGGAGACCCTTACGGTGGATGTAGACCAGAATGTGTTCTTAACACTGAATGTCCACGAAATCAAGCATGTATTAAAAACAAATGTAAAGATCCTTGCCCCGGAACTTGCGGTCAAGGTGCTTCTTGCGAAGTTGTAAATCATATTCCTATCTGTACCTGCCCTGAAAAAACATCAGGAGATCCATTCATTGGTTGTTACACTATACAAGGTTTGCTTTCATAACATATTGAATTTTAAATTATAAAATTTCGCGAAAAATGTTTTTATTTTCACTTAACGATTGAAAATCAAATTTTTAGAAGTTCCTAAGGATGTATGCGCTCCATCTCCGTGCGGACCAAACAGTATTTGCAGAGAAATAAACTCACAAGCTGTTTGTTCTTGTATACCGGGCTTTATAGGTGCTCCTCCTTCTTGCCGTCCAGAATGTGTCGTTAGTTCAGAATGTCCTTTAAATCAAGCTTGCTCAAATCAAAAATGTAGGGATCCTTGTCCTGGAACTTGTGGAATAGGAGCAGTTTGCCGGGTTGTAAATCACAATCCAATTTGTACTTGTTCTCCTGGTTACACAGGCGATCCATTTTTGAGATGTTATCCAGCACCAGGTATACCATTCGCCTACAATTTAAAAATACATAATTTTTTTTTTATAAATAAAATTTTAATTTACATTTTAATATTTTAATAGTAAAAGTCCAAGCTGTGGAATCTGCACCTGTAAATCCATGCCACCCAAGTCCGTGCGGACCAAATTCTCAATGTCGGGAAGTTAATGGAAATCCTTCCTGCTCATGTATTCCAGAATTTATTGGCAATCCTCCTAATTGTCGACCAGAATGTGTTAGCAACTTTGAATGCTCTGATCATTTGGCATGTATTAATAATAAATGTAAAGATCCTTGTCCGGGAACTTGCGGACAAAATGCAGATTGCCGCGTAATAAGTCACACTCCTAATTGTCAATGTCAAGTGGGATACACTGGAGATCCATTCAGATTGTGCTTTAAAAAACGTATGTTACTTTTTGATAATTGTCTGAAGAGAGAGTTTAAGACAAAATTTACAAAAAACTATCCCATTTTACAGCGGAAGATACTCCTGTTGAAAGGCTACAACCTTGTGTACCCTCACCGTGTGGTGCTAATGCTATATGCAGAGAACGAAACGGTATTGGTGCATGTTCATGCATAGAAGACTATACAGGAAATCCATATGAAAGTTGCAGACCAGAATGTGTAATTAGTACAGATTGTCCATCTAATAAAGCTTGTATAAAAAATAAATGTGAAGATCCATGTCCAGGAACATGTGGACAAAATGCTGATTGTCAAGTAATTAACCACCTTGCTAATTGCATATGTAGAGAAGGATATACTGGAGACCCATTCAGGCATTGCAGCTTCATTTTGAAACGTTAGTTGTCTCTTTAAAAAGTGATGCTGTTTTTCAAAAATCAAGGAGAAAAATATTTATTTAAAAATTTTCTTTTTAGCTGTCGCCCATATTGAACCCGAAAATCCTTGCGTGCCATCTCCTTGTGGACCCAATAGTCAATGTAGGCAAGTAAACGGTCAAGCTGTTTGCTCTTGTCTGCCAAAATACGTTGGATCACCACCAGGGTGTCGCCCGGAATGTGTCACAAGTGCAGAATGTCCTCACAATCTTGCTTGCTTGAATCAAAAATGTGTAGACCCTTGCAACGGTGTCTGTGGTCTTAATTCGAAATGTACTGTTATTAACCACAGTCCAATCTGTAGTTGTCAACCTGGTAACACCGGAGATCCTTTTACACGTTGTTTCCCAATTCCTAGTAAGTTAATAGTTAAAACTCTTGATGATGTTTACCTCGCAGATTATTTGGTCATCGGCAAACCCAAAATGAAATCAACATTAAAACTGAACGTTATTTTTCCAGCATTTACTCAAGAACCCGTCAAACAGGAATATGTTAATCCATGTGTGCCATCTCCTTGCGGTTTGAATTCTGAATGCCGGGATATTAATGGAATCCCATCTTGTTCATGTAAACCCACTTATATTGGAAGTCCACCAAATTGTAGACCTGAATGTTTAATTAATTCGGAATGTAGTGCCAATCTCGCTTGTATCAAAGAGAAATGTAGAGATCCTTGTCCTGGATCGTGCGGTGTTGGCGCAAAATGTTCAGTTATTAACCATACTCCAGTTTGCAGTTGCCCACAAGATTATACCGGTGACCCATTCAGTTATTGTTACCCGAAACCTCCTGAAAGTAAGATATTTTATAAAATTAGAAATCTATTTTTTTCTGTTGCGCATGAAATTTTAAAATTTTGTACTTTTATCTTTAGAACAACCAGTTCAGTTAGATGCATGTAATCCCTCACCATGTGGAGCGAATGCTGTTTGTAAAGACGGTGTTTGTAGTTGCATACCAGAATATCACGGAGATCCATTTGTTGAATGTAGGCCAGAATGTATATTAAGCACAGACTGTCCGAGAGATAAGGCCTGTATAAGAAATAAGTGTAAAGATCCATGTCCGGGTACATGCGGACAGGAAGCTCAATGTGAAGTAATACAACATGTTCCAAGTTGTAGTTGTCCGGCTGGTTACACAGGAGATCCGTTTATTCTTTGTCGCGTAGTACCGAGTAAGATGCCATTTCCTTTTTTCCTAATAATCAATTATTGAAAAAAAAAAGGATAAATTTTTTAAAATCGTAAATTATTTTAGAACCCGCTGTGACGCAACCTTGTAATCCTTCACCTTGTGGACCTAATAGTCAATGTCGAGAAATAAATCAACAAGCTGTTTGCTCGTGTTTGAACGGTTACATTGGAGCACCCCCAACATGTCGACCAGAATGTGTTGTTAGTGCAGAATGTCCTTTGAACCAAGCATGTATAAATCAGAAATGTGTTGATCCATGTCCAGGAACTTGCGGTTTCGGAGCTAAATGTAACGTTATTAACCACAATCCAATCTGCAGTTGCCCACCGAGATATACTGGAGATCCATTTTCCAGATGTTACCCCATCCGTAAGGATCATTTTAAAAATTACAAATTTATTAAATTTTTTTTCTACAGCTATATGTATTTTCTCTGTTGTACTTTTTTTCTTTCTATCTTTCTTTCTTTCTTTCTAAATTTTCTTCTTTGCCTTCTCTAGCTGAAAAAACAACACCTTTACAAGAATCTCCTAGAGATCCTTGTCAACCAAATCCATGCGGCTTAAATGCTCAGTGCCGTGTGTCTTCCGACGGAACGCCTTCGTGTTCGTGTCTTACCGGTTTTATTGGAAGTCCTCCAAATTGCCGGCCCGAATGCGTTTTGAATTCTGACTGTGACTCACAGTTAGCATGTATCAATCAAAAATGTCGCGATCCATGTCCCGGATCATGCGGAGCTGGAGCCGAATGTCGCGTCGTGGCTCATATACCCAACTGTTTATGTCCCAACGGTTACGAAGGAGATCCATTTAGCTATTGCTCCGTTAAACCTCGTAAGAATAAAAAATTTATTTGAAATAAAATCGGGAAAACGGTTAAAAATTTAATTTACAAAAAATAATAATAATTTTTTAAAAAATTTTTATTAACTTATAAAAAAAAAAATAAAATAGTGGAAAAATTTCGTCTGGTATTTATAACTTAAGATAAATAAAATAATTATTGCATGTTATATTACTGTTTAACTACTACCTTTGCATGTAAATGTTTGTAGTTTATTGTGGGGAAGGTGATGGTGCATGAATGTATTTGTGCTTTAAAACAATATTGGCTCATTTAAATATTTTAATCTAATGAAAAAAAAATTTTAAAAATCAATATTTCATATTAAAATTTTTAAATGAGCCTAATATTTTAAATTTATTTTATTTTGAACATTGAGTAATATGTAATTTTTTTAAATTTACAGCTCCACCAAAAACACCTCTTATACCAACCGATCCTTGT